GCCCACCCGGCTCCACAGATCCGGATGAGAGAAGGCCCCAGAACGCAGGCACAGGGGACCTCCTGGGGGCTTCCAGGGCTCCCGCAGCTGCAGCCCAGGTCTCGTGGCTGGCTCATGGGGGTCTCCTCCCAGAGCTCCTCCCGGGTTAAGGAAACCCTCTGCGCCTGCCCCAAGGGGGAGGGGGAAGGAAAAGTCCGAAGGCCAGGGGAGGAGGCTGCCCCCAGACAGCCGTGAGGGCCTCGTCTGGCCCCGAGAACAGGAGGAGCGCCGGGCAGGCCTCGTGTCCACTCTTCCACCCCTCTGACCCACGGAGCCGTGGCTGTCACCCTCTTGCAAGTGCACGATCCTCTTCCCGGCAAAACCACAAAGGAAAGACGCCAGCGTCACGGGCTGAATGTGGCCAGAGCCACCAGCCCGGTGTGAAAGTTCCGGAGTTTTCGCCTTCTCGCTCCTCTTTTCTAACATTAACTGCACGGCTGCTCAGCCCAGCGTCCTCTGAAGGCGAGGACCACACGCATCTTCTCCCATTTTACCGCCAATACAGTAAGTGCTTAATAAAGACGCAGTGAATCGTACGCTCAACAGACGGAGGGGTGGAGGGGTGGAGGGGTGGAGGGACGGATGGAGGGAGGCAGAGAGAGAGGGACAAGGGATGGAGGATGCCTCGTCTTCCCAAGAAACCTGTGAAGCTGGGAGAGAGGCTGCTGCTTAGAAAATGACGGACAACCAAACCCAGAGCCTGGACAAGACGAGAAACTCTACAGCTCTTCTTGAATAATGGGAAAAAATGGCGCTTTCTAAACCAGCCTCAGACCGACCGACCAGCCGTGGTGGCTGATCGTAGGTGTCAACATGACCGACTAGGGAATACCCGGAGAACCGGAGAAGCGCTGTTCCGGTATCTCGGGACACGTCCGTGAAGTTGTTTGCGGGAGACTGGCTGTGAGCCGGGACCGAGCGGGGGACCTGCCCTCAGTGTGGGCGCCGTCCAGCCGGCCAGGCCCCGCGGACAGAAAGGCAGAGGGGGGTATTCTCCGTCTCTGTCTGTCTCTGTCTCTGTCTCCCCCAACCCCCGCCCCCATTCTGAGCTGGGACACGCTCTTCTCCTGCCCTCGGACATCAGAACTCCAGGACCTCTGGCCTTTGGACTCCAGGACTTGCACCGACAGCCCCCAGATTTGGGCCTCGGGCCCTGAACCGAGCGTTTTCTGGTGCTGAGGCCGTGGCCGTGGCCCGAGGCCGTGGCCGTGGCCCGAGCCACGCAACCGGCACTGCTGCCTCCATCTTGCAGACGACCTGTCGTGGGGCTCCTTGGCCTGCACAAGCACACGCGCCAATGCCCCAGCGGCTCCCCGCTCGCCCGTCTATACTCTACTCCTCTGTCTCTCTGGGGAGCCCTGACTAGCTTGCCAGCTCCTCGGTGAGGGTCCTCCCGAGCTCTGGGCCCTGCGCGTGTGGACACGACCAGGCAAGGAGCAGTGAGAAAGAGACCTCGGCCCCACACAGCCACGGCAGAGCACGGCCAGTCTCCCCCACCCTTCCCAGCCCTCCCGGAACGAGCCAGCGTTGTTCTGGGCACAGGCTCCGGCGGTGCTGGGCGGCTGCAAGCGGAGGAAGCTTCTGCCGCCACTGGCCTCGCCCCCTCGGGCCACAGCTCAACTGACCCTGCAGAGCTTCACGCTCGGGAGAGAGACAGATGCCACCTTCCTCCTGGCTGGGACTCTGGTCACTCCTCAGGGCCGGGGAGGGCAGGGCAGGCCACCAGTCTCCGTGGTCTGATATCGCTAAAGGCCGCCGGGCTCATCAGGAGCGGCCAAAGCCGCCCTCCCAGGCTGACCTCGCGAACGACAAAAGATGAATCTGGACACACGGAGACGCGCGGCAAGTGTCCCTGAAGAGGTGAAAGGGGCCACTTGCCCTTCATCCCTGTGGCCAGAGGGACGACGACAGGCTGAGGACGACCCCTGGCTAGAGCCCAGTGGCTCAGCAAGTCCCCTCCCTGCTCGGGCCAGCCCTCCTCCCGTCCGCCGCGGGGGTTGCACCCAAACGCCCCAGTCTGAGCAGGCAGCGGCGTGCAGGAGGGTCTGGGGCTTTGCCTGTGTCTTTTCTCCCCAGAGACGCCAGGAGGCACCGACAGAGCAGAACAGTCGGGCTCAGGACCGCGGCCCCCACGTGGGTGCCCGTCCCACAGCCCCGAGCCTCCGCTGGCCCCATGTCAAACTCCACTTGGAAGTGCTAACCACAGGTTTGCCTCCATAAGGACAACACAGAAGGGAGAAAGCAGTGACATGGAAACGCGGCCAGACCCACAGGGCAAGCAGGGCCCAGGCCCCGCCGCCACGCGGGTGGGTGCAGGCCACGCTCCCACTGCCTCCACGGCACCAGCGCCCAGCACAGGGTCCCAGCCACCTACACGCCACGCACAGGCTGCCGCACGCAGCTCAGGTGGGGACCAAGGAGAGGCACAGTCACAGTGCAGCGGAATCCTCGGGGGCACATGCCAGGCACTAAGAACTCCACAGACACGATTCCACAAACGGGACCTGGAGAAACACTCGGGCAAAGCTGCACTTGGCGACGGCAGCGCTGGGTCCCTGTGGGGCCGCGAGCTCAGCTGCCCGCTCTGCCTCCCGGGCGTGGGGATTGCAGCTTTACAAATGAAGCGCTGGAGGAAAAGTAACCAAGAGGCAGCTGCCGCCTCGCTGTGAAGTCCTCGCTGTGAAGTCGGGGTTTGTTTCCGCCGCCACTGCTGGGGGAACAGCTCCAGTCCCTGAGCAGCAGCTCGGCCGCGTGCCAACCCCCAGCCCGGCGCGGGGATCCGAGCAGTGACATCACCTCCATTCCCAGCACCCACACCATGACTCATGGTCCAGACGGCCGTCCACTGCCAGCTCCCACGGGAGAGGCCACGGCTCGGCAAAGCGCAGCCACTGACCGTCACAGGGAGGCGTGGGCAGGCCAGAGGCCAGCGCGAGGAGCAGCCCCCGAGGGGGCCCCTCCGTGTGCAGCCAGCACAGCACACCCCAGAGCCAAAGCCCCTCACCGGGAACCGCGGACGATTTACAAGGGCCCTCCCTTGCACACTCCCGGCCCACGGGTGGCAGGTCAGATGATGACTGTAACCCAAATTTGTGTACATCTCACGCCATTGCGTTCCCCTGCAGCAAATTTAAAGCAAATGAAATTATGCACTGAATACTCTGCATCTGGACTGTTGGCCAAGAAATGGGTTTGGCCAGGGCTTTCCTGTGTTTTTCTCTACACAGTTACTTTAAATATGTAGTGTGTATGAGCGTGTTTGTGAACATGTGAGCGTGCATGTGTGTGTGTGTGTGTGTGTGTGGTGTGTCTAATGGGTGTGTGTGTTTGTGTGGCTGTGTGAATGTGAGTTGTGTATAGGTGCAAGTGTGTGTACGTCTGAATCTGCGAGTCGTGTGTCTGACTGTGTGTGCATGTGTATTCCAAAGGCCCTTCCACAAAGTCCAGAACCATCGTCTCTCCCTGGCCCAGGGCCCCGCAGGCAAATCCATCTCTGCTGTTCTCAGAGAGAAAGAGCAGAAGTGAGTTCCAACCACTTCCAAACAAACCTGTGGGAACTGAGAAGCCACTTCAGGACAGGAAACCAGCAGAGGCTACTCGGGCTTCCGTCACTCCAGCCCTGCAGACATGTCCTGGCAGAGGGACACGTGACCCTGGACAGGGCGTGACACCCCCAGGTCACTGAGCAGAGGGGCGTGGGTGAGTCGCTTAAGAGACAGATGAAAACCTCTGAGAACTGGATGATTACACAGAGACGGGCTCTTGAGGAGGTCCCCAAATCTCACATCTGGAGAATTCCAAGACTGAGGACGAGAACCGTCAGGCCCAGGTGTCTCATGGGAAAATCTCAGTCATCCATGCGGACCTGACACTTTGTAGCGCTTCCAAAAAGGGCTCCTCAATACTCTGGTTTCTCTTCAATCGCATAAATCTTTCGCCTTTTACCAAAGAGGGCTCCTCTCGGGACTGACTCTCAGCATTTGCAGCTGCAAACGCAACATTCCCTTTGCATCTCACAAATCACGCACGCACAGAGGCCTCCTCATCACCAAGTCCCACATGACGGTCCTCAAATAAACCAGGCAGTAAATATCCGCTACTTCCCATCAGCAGGTGAAATCCACTCTCCCCGTAGCCCGGGAAGTGGCGTCCCGCAGAGCCCGTGCCGCACCCAGGGAAGGCCGAGGGCAGGTGGGGCCTGGGGCCTCCTCCGTTAGGGTCGGCGCGTCCAGCCCCCAACCCGTCAGGAAGACATCACTGTTCTGACCCCATCGGTTTAGAAGGAGTAGCCGGGGACCTGCTGGGCTCCGGGAGGCACGTGACAGACTCCCTGCATCACTCTGCACCCGGGCTCGCCAGGAAGCCACCAAGGGGCCTCTGTACCTGCCAGCCTCCGGTTCCCTCCCCCGCGCCAGCCGGGTTTCTGTGGGACAGCTGTATGTGACGCTTCCTGGGAACAGGGGGACACTTCCCCAGGTTGTCTGCCACAGACCAAGGGGGTCCCCTCCGCGGAATCACCCCTCCTTGCCCAACACCTGCCCAGGTCGGACACGGCTCTGCCTGCTTCAGGTGTAACCAGGAAGGCTCCAGGCAGGGAGCGCCGTGATAACGCTTTAGCTGCGACACCTCGCCAGCCCCTCACGAGGTGGTGCTGACGTCGCCCGTCCTCTGATGAAGAACTGGAGATTCGGGGTCCCTGGCTAGAAAGGCAGGGCGGGGGTCACCGGCTCTGCTCTCCCACGTCGGCCAGATGCACGAGGCCAGACCCCGCCCTGACTGGAGGGAGGGGCCGTCCCGAGGCCCCCAGCCCAGAATGCCCGAATCTGGCTTCCGCACTGTCCTGCCGGTGACACGGCCCAGCCACACCCACCAGGCACGAGGACGGGAAGTCCCACGTGGGGGGCGCCGGCCCGCCGGCCCTGGGCTGGGTGACTGACTGGGGCGGGGACACGACCACTCACCTTTCCGAAGTCTCGGACGTCGAAGAGGTCAAAGGGGTCGAACAGCTCGCTGTTTCTCAGTCCGAATTTGTCGTGGCAGACTTTAAGGAAGGTGCGTATGTTCTTGAGACACAGGAACTAGAGAGAGAAGGAGAAATTATTAGACCTGCATGGTCTGTAAAAATCGTCACAGCGGCAGCAGCGAGCTTTTGCTTCTGAGTGCCAGCGCATTCGAGCACATTCCTGTTCTGCAGGAGGACACGGGCTCAGACGCTGAGGACACCCCCTTGCCAGGGCAGGGGCCGGGCCGCCTGGACTGAGCAGGCAGCAGCTCACGGCCTGAGTTTTTAACCACCGCGGGCCTCCGGCACCCCCGTAACGGAGCTGCAAAATCCGCCGAGGCCTTCACGCCATTCCCCGTCCTGACTGGTCCCCACGGGCCAGACGGCACCCGGCCGTTTGTGAGCGTCCAACCCACCCCTCCAGGTGGCTCAGCACGTTTCAAGGCTGACAGTCTCGGCTGGAGCAGAACATGCTATGCTGGTGTCTGCAAGGACGTGCACGCCCCGCGCCAATCACAGGTGACGCAGCCCACAGCCAGGAACCGCCCCACAGGAAGCCGTGGCAGACCAGGGAGCGGCAGGTGCCAGCCGCAGGGGCAGGGTGATGGGAGCACAAGCCAGGGTTCCCCAGTCAACACGCAGGGTGGCTGCCCTCCACCTGCCGTGCCACCAGCCCCGCTGAGCTCCCGGCCTGCACCGGGCTTGCTGTGAAGCTGGGGCAGGAGGCACGACAGAGGGTGGGGGCCATGGTGGGAGGAATGGTGGGGGTTGGGGGGTGGGGCGGCCGTCTTTCCAGTCCTCGCGGGGAAATAGCTGGTAAAGCAACTTTCGGGGCAGCAGGTGAGGGTGCCCGGAGTGTAGGCTTGGGAGTCACTCAGTCCTCGGGTCTCAATCCTGCTGCCGGGTGAACACGCAAGACCAGGGGGAGCAGCTTGCGCTAGGCCTGGTTTCCCATCACGACCTGCCTCACCGGGTTAATCACAAGCCCTGACGGCACAGAGTGGACGCCGCTGGACGGGAGCCCCAGCTCAGCACGGCGCTCCCCAGGCAAGGACCTCGGCACACGCTGCCGGGGACGCCCCAGGACTTCAGACCAGCGCTTGTCATCAACAGCCACCCACTAAGGACAAGCTCCCAGTCTCAAGGCAATGCAGAGAGCCTGTCCCCGCTCACCAGACATTCAGACAGATGTTCCTGTAGGACAGGGCGGAATCGGAGCCTAGGGCATAAACTTGAGCATATGCTCACTGCGCCGAGCACGCGGCGACCCCTCCCAGCGGGAGGCGGGACACGCCGGCCTGGCCTGCCCGCGAGCTCCCTGTGCCACGGCTGTCCCTCCCACCCTGACTGGGGTCGGTCCTGCTTGCCCACCTGTTCCGTCACAGTCACTCCCCGTCCCTCCGTGTGTGTGACCACGTGCACGATTTTTCCGAACACTGGAGATTAACTGCAGACACGATAGTCTTTAACCCCTAAATACTCGAATGTGTCTTTCCTAAGAACAAGGACGTCCCCGCCATCATCACAGCACCGGTGTCAGAGTCAGGAAAGTAACAGGGACGCCTGCTCTGTGGACCTGACCTACATTTCTTCAACATACACAGACGAGGGACAACCAAAATGTTATTTACAGCAAAAACGAAAAACAACCTGACCCAGGGTCCAATCCAGGACCACACACAATTTTACTGTCAGGTCTCTAGCCTCGGGTCACCTAGCGTAACATTCTCCAACAGAACTTTCTGGAAGGATGAAAGTGGATACCCTGTGTGATATCCAACAGGACGTCATGTGTGGGCATTTCGAGTGCCCACCAGACACGTGTCCAATGGGCTCTTGAAAGGTGGCTGGTCCAAGTGGAAAACTGGCTTTCTAATTTAGTTTATTAATTAAGTTAACTTTTAAAGCTACACATATTAATGGCTAGTAACTGCTGGTTTAGACGACGGGATCTAAAGCGATCCACAGTCTTTGTCTTCAACGACTTGATAATTCTGAAGAACAAGACACAGAAGGATAAATAAATACCGTGTGGTTTCTCAACAGCCACGTGTGTGATTCCACTTCCACAAGGTCCCCAGTGTCCCCAGAGCCTCAGAGACAGGGAGTAGGAAGGTGGGTGCCAGGGGCTGGGGGAGGGGAACAGGGGTCAGTGTTTCATGGGGACAGAGTGACAGTTTGGGAAGATGGAAAATTCTGGAGATGGAGGGTGATGATGGCCACACAACAACGTGCATGTGCTTAATGCCACCGTGCACGTAGACATGGTTAGGATGGCATATTTTACGTTGTGTGTATTGTAACTAACAAAAGAGATTAATCAGAGAGAGAGAGCCGTGGAGACAGAGCCACAGGGAGCGCAGGAGACAATGGAGGCCGAGGCTGGAGCCACGCGGCCACAGCAGCGCCAGCAGGGACGGCCGGCAGCCCCAGAAGCTGGCAGCGCGCGTGGGCAGCTTCTCCCCAAGAAGCCCCTGGTTTGGACACCAGCCCCGGTGCCGTGGGACAGCAGATGTCTGCTGCGTTGAGCCCCCGGGTCTGTGGCACTCTGTCACGCAGCCCAGGACACTCAAACTCGGCCGGCCTCGAAGCCGGGGCGCGGGGGCTCTGCACGGGGGAGCCCCGGCCACCCCCGCCGCTCAGCTGAGCGGCGGAACCGGCGCAGCTCCCAGCCGGGCTCGGCTATTTTTTGCACAGGGCTCATCTCTAATTTCCACTAAGCGTTTATTTTAATTCCTCCTCAGCCTCCCAATTTTAGAGTTAATTACACAGGTCCCAGCCATAATCACAGCCCGCGAGGCTGAGAACGCGCGGGTGCCCTCGCCCGGGGCCCAGCGTCTGCCCTGCCTGGCCCAGCCCACCCCCGGCCACTCCGGGCAACCTCACCTCCGAGACCCTCGGAGTGGCCCTGCGCCACACCGGGCACACGGCAGCCTCTGAGCCGCACGGGCAGACGCAGACCCCAGGGACAGGGTAGGGAGCCCGGACACCGCCGCAGGCTGCTCCCTGAAAGCAGGCAATGCCCTCGCCACCCCCCTCTGGGGTGTCTCCTGTGCTCTGCCCGCCTGGTGCGTTTATTCTCATCTCGCTACGATTCGTCCCATTTTACACAAAGGGGAACTGAGGCACTGAGAGTTAAGGACTTCGGCAACGCACCAGGAAGCGGCAGAGCCCAGAATAAACCCTGGTCCACTTCAGGGCGGAGCCCCCGGGAGGGCGGGTGTGTCCGGTGTGTCCCTCCTGCTGTGCTGTGCGCCGGGAGGCCGTGTCCTCGACCCTCCTGAGTGGCTGGTTTGAGTAATGCACGTGGTCACCAGCGGGTACCAGAGCCTCGCGGTCCCACCCAGCGGGGCCGGGGTCAGAGGGCGAGAGGACACAGGCTGAGGGAGGTCCCGACAGGGGTCAGTGCAAGGCCAGACGTTCCCTGTCCTCCCCAAGCCGGCGGTGTGGGTTTGGCCATTGCCTGTGGCCAGGGGAGGCCTGGCCGGCATCGCGAAGCGAACGCTCATCCTCTGCAGCGAGTCCAGCCGAGCGGCCACAGGGAGGGGCTGTCCCCAGAACACTGCTCGGGCCAGGGCCCCGGGCTGGGTCAGCACTGCCTGGGTGGCAGGCTCAGAGCCCCACTGTGTTTGCTCAGGGCACTCAGAGGGGCCGTGGGCTCCGCTCCTCTCCCTCCCCGCCACCGCTGGGCCCCCAGCCGTCCCTGCTGTAGGCCCCACCGCGTCAGCAGGCGGAGGCAGGTGCAGGGAGCAGCCGTGGGCCGGGAACCCAGCCTCTCCTCTCCGACCCATTCATCAGCCACCTGTGATCCCGTCAGGCCGAAATCGGATTAGTGTGTGGGCAGTCTCCACGCCCAGCGCCACCTCCCAGGCTCTGGGCGCACCACGCTGAGGTCACCTCTCGCTGGCAGCTTTGACACAACATCCCGTGTTGGGTAGGTGAGGCCAGGGACAGCCCCTCCCTGCCCTGCAGAGGAGCCCCACCGGGCGGGGGCAGCCTGCAGGCCACAGGACCCTCCCGCTACCCAACCCTGGGCTCCCCCAGCAGTGCAGGGATGGGGCACAGGACCGGCCCACCTGCCTCCGGAGCCGACACCGCCCCGGGATGCTCACACATCTCAGCACTGAGAGGCGGGTACAGAAAGAGAAATTGAGGCCTGGGACGGTAAAGCCACTTGCCTGAGGTCACACGTTAGGAGGCTTCAGCCAGGGATTTGCAATCTGAACACCGGTGGACAAGGACCGACCACTGGACCACGGGGAAGCAGTAACAAGGGAGCTAAGTGCTAACCGCATGCCAGGTAGATGCCGACACGCTGCAGTGACCAACTCACCTAAGGCTGCAGGGCCCCGGGAGGGGAGCAGTGTCATTGCCCCATTCCACAGACAGACAGACCGAGGCTCGGAGCAGTCAGGTCATGAACAGGCCTGGGGTTCCGGGGTAAACCTGTGGCCGGGAGGAGGATGGCCACAGCCCCTGCCGAAAGGATGACAAGGACGGCGGCAAGCGGCCTGTGTCTCAAGGCAGGCTCCACACGGCCTCGGTGGCTGACCCTCGCTCCAGGGGCCAGGTGGGAGGGGCGTGGTGCCAGGGCTGCCCTCTGTGGGGCGTGGCTCCCCCCCACCGCCCGGCACAGCCCGGCTCCGTCCCGCCTCCCCTCGCTGTGTGAGCTGGGGCAGGTCTCCTCCCGCACTGTCGGGACTCTCCGTGGCTGACTCACAGCAGGCACACGTGCTCTTGAGATCCTGCCCAACCTTCGCAGCCCTGTAGACTGTCACCCACACTCGAAGCTCCTCTGGCACCCCCTGACCGCCCACTCCCAGCCCGACACCTCCCCCAGCCACACTCCAGCCCAGACCCCGCAGCAGGTGCGTGACAGCCCCGGCCTGGCCAGCGGGCTGTGCTCCAAGCCTGCTGCTACGCAACAGCCACGCGGCCTCCCTGTGCCTCAGCTTCTCAATCTGTAACGTGGCCGGAGAGAACCCTGCCTTCCTACTTCCAGGATGCCGGGCCCTCACTGGAGAAAAGAAGAGACGGTGCCTGGGGCCATCTCCCCGGGGAGGTCCAGAGGTCCCC